TGGGAGCAGCGGACCCACGGGACACGCACGGCCGGGGGTCCGGGAGCCGAGCCGCTACGGGCGCCGGGGTCCGCACCGCATTCAGGGGTGTCCAGTCCAGCCCCCACCCCGCCATAGGCAGGCAAGTGTCCCCTCCAAATGAGCATCCAAACGCCCTTTGAATGAGGGCAGAGTAAATGCTTGCGCCACTCTGGGGGAGTCTCTTCTAGCTCCTGGACGCTTGGACTGTAAGTTAGTTTCGGTCTAAACCCCACCTGTGTGGGTCAGAGGCTGGCTGGTATGCTGGGAAGAGGAGGAAGGGGTGTCCAGGGGCCAATCCAGGCCACAGGCCCCCCCACGCCACTCCTCCAGCCGGCTGACTTTGACAGCCCTGCATTAGCCTGCTTGAAGAGTCCCGGCCGTTTTCTCTCCACAGAGGCACCGGCAGTGCAGGGACCAATTCTTTGCAAAGTGCCTTGCAGAGTCATAGAGGAGCTCCAGAGGTCATCTATGACCCGCCGTGTGAGGCAGGATCATCCCACCACCCCACACAAATCTAGCCTCTTAACACCACACGAGACATAACACCCGCACCCGCCACAAGTAAAGGAGGAGGACCGTGGCCTCCAACATCCTGCTAGTGCAAAGGTTGTTAAAGTACGCTGGAAGAATCCCAGAAAGAGGAACATATATAGAGGAAGGCAAAAACACGCGCACACACACAAAAACACATAGTCCATACCAATCTGACCCCGGGGTAAAATTCCTTCCTGACCCCAAATACAGTGATGGGTCTGACCCTGAGCGGAGGAGCAAGACCCTCTAGGCAGGAAGCTCTGGGTTCCTGGCACCAGACTGAGTGCTGAGCAATTAAAATCAGGCCCCGTTCAGAGGCGTCTCCAAACCCAGCACCCCTACTCTCGGCTATGGATACCAGTGATTTAAGGAGTGGCGGGATGAGTGTACAGTGCCAATAGCACAAGATCGCAGCGAAGCAAAATCTCCTCTCATGTCAGCCGAGCAGATTGTGCACTGCCAAACTCATAGTAACAACCTATATGCAGGCAAGGATTCCCAGATGCAAGAAGGGGCGTCTAGCCACCGACTGAACAAATAAAAGGAAATGCTTGGTTTCCCATCAGCCCCATTTTAAAAATAGCAGCTTGATTAACGCTGCCCATTTCTGATTCTCCAGGGGGAGAGGAAGAGGGGAAGGATCTATAAATAGTTTACAACACAGAGAATCCTATAGCAAAGTTGCTGGGAAGATCAATAGCGTGATTCAAGGAGGGCTCCAAATTACATCTCAGGGGATGGAGGTGCTGAACTGAATTGATAAATGAGTTGCAAATGTGGTGTGTGTTGTGTGTACCTAATTAACGCAGGGTGGCTGGGATCAATAGCAACGAAGGAGTGAGGCTAAAAATAGAACTCAGGCAGGGATTGCAACCTGCGGGCAACAGCTTGGATGAAAATGTCCCCCTGAGTAATTAACCTTTAGCTGGAAAATGATGTTTAGCGTTGGGCCGAAGCGTGTCCTGCAAGCAGCCTGGAGCCGAGGGGGGCTCCGCGGTACAGTACGATGTGTACAAGCCGGGAGGTTAATGCCTGCTTTTTGCCTAGGGGACACACACACACAGCCTGGCTCTAATCTTCCCTCCGTTCAGTCTGAAACATCAGACTCGGGAGCCGGCGCGGTTTTGTGGAGAAATGTTTAAGTGCTAATGCTTTGGTGGTGTTTTGGGAGCAGGAAATATTCCTCCCTCTGGCTAGGCATTTGTAAGGCCCTCATCGCTGTATTGTGAGAGCGCCTCAATAAAGCCATGACCACATTTTAATATTTCTTTCTTTCTTCCAGAGTGGCAGTGCTTGGGATTTTCTTATTAGCTGCCATTATTCTGATGAGACCTTTCTGTCTCTATGCATTTCTAATATTTGCTCATTTAGTGAATTTGGAAACTGAATCCAGATTGGAACCAGGAGGGAAATAATATCTCAAGTGGAGTCTCCCTTGTCACCTGCATCTCCAGAAGAGTAGGATCTCTCTTACCTTCTGGCTTTGGGCACAAAATAATCATTGTCCCAGCTCGCTCATTCTTCCTGAGCTGCAGAGTTGGACAATAGCAAAAAAAAAGAGTGAGGGGCAGAGTTTGAAAAGAGCAGCAGGGCATCAGTCCTCAGTCCTGCAATTCAATGCACACGATACTGCCATGCTCCTGTGTCAATCTGATTGCTGGACTGGAAATATGCTTCTATGTAAAGTGGCATGTAAAGAAGAGGGTGGAACAGGGCAGGTATCACCTCTTGCTGCTTTATGGTGGGAAAAAAACGTGATAGCAGCCTGAAAAGAATGTTTTTTTTTCTTAAAAATTCAGGCCTTGTCACCTGTGGAAGGCTTTTGATGATGAAGGAACTGACAATTGCTCAACAGAGGCCTTGTCTACACATGCCTTGCTCTGCTGCCAGAAGGGCAGGTGGCAAAAAGCAATGCCCCCGCGCAGCCTCCACAGTGCATGTGCACCCATGTGCTTCTGGCAGCTCCCCCACTGCACAGGAGACAAAGTGCACCTCTGGAGGGAACTGGCTGCTGAAGGAACCACAGCAGTTAGCAAAAAGTATGGGAGTCTCTACACATGCCTTTGCTGGCTGCTAGCAGAAACTTGTAATTACTCTGCCCACAGAAAGGAGGGCTCTGCCACCACAGAGAAGTTCTAGGCATGGGCCATTGAGTGAAAGCCGCCACCTTGCAAAATAACACCCAAATCGTGCAGTGGCCACATTACAAGCTGAGGATCTATGTTAACGCAAGCTCCTCGTTGGGCCAGCCAACTAGCAAAAGAAGTGCCAGCGTGTTCGAGTTGAGGGTTTTTGAATGGAGAGAGGAGTTGAATTATTGGCAACATTCAAGTTAAAACTCAAGTGATGAAGACGAGCCCAAACTGTGAGTGGAGACTGCTTCTGCTCGTGTTAACCCATGCACGATGCAGAAACGTAAGAAAGGAGGTCTCTTAGCTAAGGATTTAACATCCCTGCTCATGCAGCGCAGGGCTAAAAGCTGACAACGCACCAGTCACCCAAGCTGGCTGCCAGCTGAACCAAAGAAAAGCAGCCATCCCTGCTACCTCTATCTAAGGACAAATCAAATAGAAGAACAACTGAAAACCTTTGGGGCCCTCTATACCTACCTTAGGAGCACGTCATCTCGTACCCTAGTTGATTTTCGTTTCCAGCTTACCTTTGAATAACTCTCTCTTTCTCTCTTTTTTGTAGGTCAGATTGTGGCCCGGCATTCATGGCACAGAAAGGTATGGGAGGGTTTTTACTCTCCTGCAAAGCCGGGCATAGCCGCTCTCCTTATCTGGTGCAGGGCAGAGGGGTTGAGAAAGCAAGAGTTGCACACCCAGTATTTTTCCCCAGACAAACAGGGTGACGTCTCAGTTCTGCGCAGCCCCTCATCGGCAGCCGGCCAGCCTATCTGAGCACACGAGGGAGAGAAGATGGCAAGAACAACCTGCAGTCAGTAGCGGGGTTTGATGTGGCTTTCAGAGAGACAAGTCCTATCCTGGGATGCTACAGTGCAGCTACATGTTGTCCCTCACTCAAGACAACCATCTAAACGGCAATATAGCCTTTAAAAAAATACAGGGATGGTGAGGAGGGAAGGAGAAAACAGGGCAAGGAAAAATCAGTGTGTGTATATACAATGTCAGAGGCAAGGATTTTGGGGGTGATATCTTTTATATGTCCAGATGTACAGCTGGATAAAGTTAGACCAACTTCCAAGTGCAAAGCATTTGTCTTCAGGCCACCTGAGTGTTTTGCATTCAAAAGCTTCTCTAACGGTATCCCAACTCCATAGTTGGTCCAATAAAAGATAACACCCGAAGAAAGCCTTGCCTCTCCCATAATTCCTGGCCCATTATGGTTACATCATCACTCCAACACCATGGACAATGTCAGACACGGTAATGGCACGATCCTGATCGGGACCTTTATGCATTACCAGAATATAGCAGGACTTTTGATCCCCTCACCCCCACCCAGCGTGCCCTGAACACACCAAGACATGGAGGCATGAGAAACAGCCTCTCAACCAAACGGGGCTTTATAGAAAATCGCTGGGGATGGTATTTTGAACAGCAGTGGTCGTTTGTTTTCATGGAGGGTGATCAGACAGAATGAGAGGTTATTGCCACATGGGATACGGGAGGGGAGTGTTTGATTAATGCTTAAAGATGCATAATGCTTACAACGCTTGAAAAAGTGAGGATCGCCACGCTTGAGAAAAGTGCCAAGATGACAGTGACGGAGAATTGCTCTGCACAGCTCCCGAATAAAAAGTTCTCTCCTGGAAGTTTAAAAAATAATTCAGGGAAT